ATAAATTTTCCCTTTACTTGGGTAAATAGCAAGGAGCACGATTGCTGAATTGTATACTAAGAGTATGTTTAATTTTGGTAAGAAACTGCCAAACCATCTTCCAAAGTTGCTGTACCATTTTGCATTCCCACCAACAGTGATTAAGAGTTTCCATTCCTCCACATTCTCACCAGGATTTGGTGTGGCCAGAGTTTTGCATTTTGACCTTTGGTAGGTGTGTAATGATATCTCATTGTTTTGGTTTGCACTTCCCTAAGGACATATGATGTTGAATATCTTTCAATGTTTACTTGCCATCTGTATATCTTCTTTGATGAGATATCTGTTCAGGCCTTTTGCCCATTTTTTAATCGAGTTGTTTGTTAATGAATTTTAAGAATTTTTTGTATAATTTGGAAAGCAGACATCCATCAGATGTCTTTTACAAATATTTTTTCCCAGTTTGTGGTTTATTTCCTCATTCTGTTGACCTTTTTTTTCTCTAATTTTCTCCCTTAAACATTTACATGTAGAACATATATGATAGTATACCACATAATACAGTTTTACCTCTTTTTTAATGTTTATTTATTTATTTAGAGAGAGAGACCGCATGCACACAAGCAAAGGGAAGGGGCAGAGAGAGAAGGAGAGAGAGACTCCCAAGCAGGTTCCATGGTGTCAGTGCAGAGCCCAACACAGGGCTCAATCCCACAAACTGAGATCATGACCTGAGCTGAAGTCAAGAGTGGGACACTTAACCTACTGAGCCACCCAGGTGCCCCCAGTTTTATCTCTTGAGTGACTACTGCATGTCAGAAAAATATTTGAAAAGAAACAGAGGAAATAGTCTTAGTCCATAGCCCACTCTAGTTTTGAATGAATAGAAGAAGTCCTCAAAGGTGAAACATCAGGAGTGTCTTGGGAGCCCAGTCAGTTAAGCATCTGACTCTTGATTTTGGCTCAGATCATGATCTCATGGATCATGGGATCAAGACCCGCATTGTGTTCTGCACTGACAGCACGGAGTCTGCTTGGGATTCTCTGTCTCTATCTTGCTCTCTCTGCACCTCTCCCATTCATGCTCGCTTGCTCTCTCTCTCTCTCTCTCTTTCAAAATAAATAAATAAACATTTTTTTAAAAGTGAAGCATCAACTTTTTCACCCAAAAAAATGTGTTTTGTGTTTCCTCATGGTACATCATTCATGTAAGCACTGACACTCATAGTAAATAAGTGATTTCTTAAGCTAAGTGATATAATATGCCAGAACTATAATATCAGTACAGCTAAATATATTGGTTAATAAAGTATTCTGCATTTTCATAAAATACCATAAAAATCTAGCCGGTTTCATCTCAGCAAAAGGAACAGCTGTTTGTAAGGCTACAAAAAAAATTGTATTCACCTCAATTTGATGCAATTGATTCTTGTTCTTTAAATTAACATAAATATCTTCCTTTAAAACAAACAACCCCATTTTGTAGATAAACAAACAGGTATAGGAAAGCAAAATAATTTCCTAACATAGCGTGCCAGTTAACGGTACACCTGGGAGTAGAAGGCGGAGGTCAGATATCACCCCATTCTAGTATTTGTTCTCTCGTACTACCACGAGCCAATCAGTGCCTTTGCCAGGTGAAAACCTGCTCAGACACCTAACAAATAACACAGCCACGGGAATAGTCTTGTAGTTTAATTCTGGAGAACCCCATACACAGATTGAAAGAGAAAGAGACATTTTTGCCCTCAGCTAAGCACACAATAATTCAGGAATAATGGCAAGTTACCCCTCAGTAGATATGAAATAGAGTATAAACATAAGCAATATCAACTGAAAGAATTTAGTATGATTTAGCCAAGGAAAAACACTTCAGCATTGAATTTTATTCTGGACTCCAGAGGAAAAGCAGCGACTGTCAGAGTGAATAATTAGAATGTTTAAAAAACAGAGTAACCAGAATAGATTGGTGATAGATTTACCTGAATCAAAATTTCTAGAATATTCTTTTTTATTATTATTAAATATAATTTATTGTCAAATTGATTTCCTTATAACACCCAGTGCTCATCCCAACAGGTGCCCTCCTAAATGCCCATCACCCACTTTCCCCTCTCCCCTGGCTCCCCATCTACCCTCAGTTTGTTCTCAGTATTTAAGAGTCTCTTAGAGTTTGCCTCCCTACCTCTCTGTAACTTTATTTTTTTTCCCCTTCCCCTCCCCCCATGGTCTTCTGTTAAGTTTCTCAGGATCCACATATGAGTGAAAACATATGGTATCTGTCTTTCTCTGCCTGACTTATTTCACTTAGCATAATACCCTCCAGTTCCATCCACATTGCTGCAAATGGCATGATTTCATTCTTTCTCATTGCCAAATAGTATTCCATTGTATATATAAACCACATCTTCTTTATCCATTCGTCAGTTGATGGACATTTAGACTCTTTCCATAATTTAGCTATTGTTGAAAGCTCGGCTGTAAACATTGTGCTATAAACAAGTGCCCCTATGCATCAGCACTCCTGTATCCCTTGGGGAAATTCCTAGCAGTGCTATTTCTGGGTCATAGGGTAGATCTGTTTTTAATTTTTTGAGGAACCTCCACACTGTTTTCCAGAGCGGCTGTACTAGTTTGCATTCCCACCAACAGTGCAGGAGGGTCCCTGTTTCTCCACATCCTTGCCAGCTTCTAGAATCTCCTGATTTGTTCATTTTAGCCACTCTGACCGGCGTGAGGTGGTATCTCAGTGTGGTTTTGATTTGTATTTCCCTGATGAGGAGTGACGTTGAGCATCTTTTCATGTGTCTGTTGGCCATCTGGATGTCTTCTTTGGGAAAGTGTCTATTCATGTCTTCTGCCCGTTTCTTCACTGGATTATTTGTTTTTCAGGTGTGGAGTTTGGTGAGTTCTTTGTAGATTTTAGATATTAGCCCTTTATCTGATATGTCATTTGCAAATATCTTTTCCCATTCCGTTGGTTGTCTTTTAGTTTTGTTGATTATTTCCTTTACAGTGCAGAAGATTTTTATCTTGATGAGGTCCCAATAGTTCATTTTTGCTTTTAATTCCCTTGCCTTTGGAGATGTGTTGAGTAAGAAATTGCTGTGGCTGAGGTCAAAGAGGTTTTTTCCTGCTTTCTCCTCTATGGTTTTGATGGTTTCCTGTGATC